CAGAACCGTTACTTAGGGCCACAGAAACGTTACTTAGGGACACAGAATTGTTACTCAGGGACAGACACAGAATTGTTACTCAGGGACAGACACAGAATTGTTACTGAGGGACACTGAATTGTTACTGAGGGACACAGAATTGTTACTGAGGGACACAGAATTGTTACTCAGGGGACAGACACAGAATTGTTACTCAGGGACAGACACAGAATAGAATTGGTTTACTGAGGGACACAGAATTGTTACTGAGGGACACAGAATTGTTACTCAGCGACAGAAACAGAATTGTTACTCAGGGACAGACACAGAATTGTTACTGAGGGACACAGAATTTGTTACTGAGGGACACAGATTTGTTACTGAAGAGCCACAGAAACGTTACTTAGGGCCACAGAAACGTTACTTAGGGACACAGAAACGTTACTTAGGGACACAGAATTGTTACTCAGGGACAAGAAACAGAATTGTTACCTCAGGGACAGACACAGAATTGTTACTGAGGGACACAGAATTGTTTACTGAGGGACACAGAATTGTTACTCGGGGACAGACACAGCAATTGTTATCAGGGACAGACACAGAATTGTTATGAGGGACACAGAATTGTTACTGAGGGACACAGAATTGTTACTCAGCGACAGACACAGAATTGTTACTCAGGGACAGACACAGAATTGTTACTGAGGGACACAGAATTGTTACTGAGGGGACACAGAATTTTTTACTCAGCGACAGACACAGAATTGTTACTCAGGGACAGACACAGAATTGTTACTGAGGGACACAGAATTGTTACTGAGGGACACAGAATTGTTACTCAGGGGACAGACACAGAATTGTTACTGAGGGACACAGAATTGTTACTGAGGGACACAGAATTGTTACTGAGGGACACAGAATTGTTACTCAGGGACAGACACAGAATTGTTACTCAGGGACAGGACACAGAATTGTTACTGAGGGACACAGAATTGTTACTGAGGGACACAGAATTGTTACTGAGGGGACACAGAATTGTTACTCAGCGACAGACACAGAATTGTTACTCAGGGACAGACACAGAATTGTTACTGAGGGTCACAGAATTTTTACTGAGGGACACAGAATTGTTTACTCAGCGACAGACACAGAATTGTTACTCAGGGACAGACACAGAATTGTTACTGAGGGACACAGAATTGTTACTGAGGGACACAGAATTGTTACTCAGGGACACAGAATTGTTACTCAGGGACACAGAATTGTTACTGGGGGGACACAGAATTGTTACTGAGGGACACAGAATTTGTTACTCAGGGACACACAGAATTGTTACTCAGGGACACAGAATTGTTACTCAGGGACAGACACAGAATTGTTACTCAGGGACACATAATCGTTGAATTAAAGAGTATGTCAGACAAACATGCAGAGGAGTGGCAGAGAAGGCAATGTTTTAGGAGCAAGCAGACGTGGCAGCAGAGGAAGGGGTCGAGGCAGCACTAGTCGCAGCCAGAGGCCAGTGCTCCCGGTGTCATCCAGCGGTCGTGTCTCCACCGACAACCCTGCCGTCATCGATTGGTTGGCTCGGTCGTCTTCCTCTTCCCAGGTCACCTCTGACACCTACAGCCAACGGTCGGTGGGTACATTCAGACACAACCGTTAGTTGGCATGGCCCGGGAGCAAGCCCACTGAATATCACGTGTCCTCTACCTGCCCCTGTCCTTTGGTGTTCCCTCACCAAGCGAAGTATCGCATGCTGTGGGCTCAGCCCCACTGTACAGTGAGGAAGAGCTAACAGAGGGCGATCAGGAACGGGGGGAGACATCCGCCTCTTCAGCAGCCAGGCGAAGAAGTAGTGGCGAGGAGAGTGGCTCGGTAGCCGGTCTAGAGACAGGTCTGTCTCCTGACCCACACGCAGCCGAGGGGGCTAGTAGTGAGGCGGAGACCCTAATTGATGATGATGAGGCTGATCGCACTTGGCAGCCTCGTCGTCATCAGGCTATTGCTTCCGCATCATCAGGAGAAGAGGGTGGCAGCTTGGCAGCGAGCAAAACAGTCGGTGGGTTGCCCAGGAGGCAGCTGGGTCGCAGCAGTGTCAGTGGAGGCAAACGGCCACGGAGTTAGAGCACCAGCTCCACTGCAGCCTACCACCACGGCCAGTAGTGGTGCCGGTGTTGTGCACGGAGGAAGCAGCAGTCAGCCAGTGAGGAGTATCGGGGGCAAAGTTTCCTACTCGGCGTATTTTGGTGTGGCAGTTTTTTGTCAAGCCGCCCGAGGAAGTAAACGTAGCCGTATGTCGACTATGTGGCCAGAAAGTCAAGCGTGGCCAGGGGGCCCATGTTGGGACTACAGCGTTGCGTCAGCATATGCAGCGTCGCCATTTTGGTGGCCTGGGAAAACCGTGATAAAGATACGGCGGTTCTGCCCGCCCCAGCCCCCGCTCCATCACCCGCTCCGTTACTTGCTCCGTCACCCGACGTCAATCGCCCTCTATCAGCCAGTCAAGGCTCCAACACCTCTGCTGAGGGGAGTTGTCGCTCGTTGGCATACTTCCCCTCGTTCTGATGCTCCTTCTCCTGCTACTCCTCTTCACGGATTCCGTCAGCAGTCTTTCTTGGAATCCGTTTCCAAGAGACAACAGGTTTGCGAGCACGCACCGACGGTGCCAAAAGCTGAACGTCCTCCTGTCCATGTTTGCTGAGTGCTGCAGTCCCTCCCTTTCCAAGTGGTGGACTCAGCACCTTTCCGAGAAATGATGGCTTGTGCCGCGCCGCGGTGGAGAGTGCCAAGCCGTCATTTCTTCACCAAAAAAAGGCGAGTAAGTGCCAGCCCTGCATTCACCATGTATGAAGAGATGGTGGGCCAGTCTTTGAGCATGTCGGTCTCTGCCAAAGTGCACGGCAGCGCCGACGTGTGGAGCTGTGACTTACGGTCAGGGACAGTACATGCCATTTATGGCCCACTGGGTGAACGTTTGGTGCCGTCACAGCCGCACCAGCAACTTGGGACAGGTCACGCCGCTTTTGCCCTCTCACGTTTTGCACGTCCTTGGTCCGGCAAAGATGTCCGCCTCTACCACCTCTTCTTCCGCGTGTCCGCAGCCGCCACCCCCCATGCCAATGTCCCATTACCGACCGGCATATCACATGTGCAGGGCGCAACGGTGTCACGCTGTGCTGCACCTGGTATGCCTTGGCGAACGTAGTCACACAGGGGAGGAACTTCTCAGTGTAATGAACAGAGAAATCGACAGATGGCTGTCTCTGCGCAAACTGAAAAATCGGAACCAATGTTGACCGACAACGGAAAGAACATGGGTGTCTGCTCTGCGTCAAGGAATGTTGTGCCATGCGCCATGCATGCTCCTCACGTGTTCAATCTGGTTGTCAAGCGGTTCCTAAAATCCACCATCCCATCTGCAAGACATCCTTAAAATGTCACGTAAAACTGTTGCATGCATTTCAGCCATTTCCTACACCGCAAAGCACACCCTCCTTGAGCTGCAGCGGCAGGCCCAGAACGGAATTCCACAGTCATCGCCTGATCTGCGACGTTTTTGCAACAAGGTGGAATTCAACCCTACACATGTTAGACCGCCCTTTACGAACAGCAAAAAGGCCATCACCGATTTCCTGATGTTACATAGCGGATAAAGGTACTCCCCTGTGTAACTTCGATGTCAGCCATTGGACAGCTCATGCGTGACACCTGCCGCTTGCTCAGGCCCTTTAGGAGGCCACGCTTATTCGTGAGTCGGGCAGGACTATGGGATGACTTGAATGACGTCATTCCTCTGTTGCACGTCCTGGAACAAATGCTGTAACAATGGCTGGTCAGGGGTGCGGTAGAAGACGTGGGCGCACAGATATCAACGCCACATGACCCCTGTGGGGGCAGGACAGGAAGAAGAGGGAGGAGGGTAGAGGAGGACATTGGTGCTCAGGAATTATTGAGTGAAATGGGTGGTTTTTCCACTCAGCGGACAGGAGTGGACGGAGCAGGACATCTGGTAGAGGAGGAGGAGGAGGAGACAGAGGACCCAGACGCACCGTGGCAGTATGCTGTGGAGAGATGGAGGCAGGGAGTCCCTCGCATTCCTTGGCACAAATCTGGGCCCATAGCATGCTCGGTTGCTTGCGTAGCGACAGCCGAATAATAACCATCAGACAGAGGGATGAATATTTGGTTGTCCACCTTGTTGGACCCTCGCTACCGTTTTCAAAATGGTGGCCTTTTTCACACCTGCTGAGAGGGAGGCCAAAATAACGTACTAGATAAAAACCACCTATGTAGTCAGTTGGTCTCTGCACTTTCTGCGCCAACGTCCGTCCTCAGACACTTGTGGCCCTGTGCGCTCGCGTATGACGCTTCCGCTGCCATGGGCAGCAGGGGAGGGGTGGGGGTGGTAGGAGCAGTGGCAGCTCCACCAGCAGCTGCCTCAGTCTGCAGTCGATTGATGAGTAGCTTTCTTCACCAGCGCAGTGAGGAAAACTACTAACCAGCCGCACAAATAAGCAGCAGCAGCATCTGGTGGACCTGGAGCAGGACCTCAAAAACAACAGGCTTGGGCCTACTTGGACAGCACCCTGCCAACCGAGGTAGACAATCCCCTTGACTACTGGGCAACGAAACTTGACCTTTTGGCCCCAAACTAGCTGAATTTGCCCTTGAAAGGCTGTCATGCCCGGCCAGTAGCGTGGCATCGGAGCGCGTGTTTAGTGCGGCAGGATAGGTAGTTGTAACTCCGCGGAGGACACGACTGTCCATCCCAAAGTGTGCAGAGGGACTCACGTTTGTGAAAATGAATCAGGCGTTGGATTAGTCTGGATTTCAAAACACCAGTTCCTGACACCAACTGACTAAATCCGCCCATGAATCATGCCCCAAACATGTGCCACTTTCAGGTCTCCTCACACACTGCTGGTGTGTTCCATTTTTGTCATAGGGTGCTGGCAGATTACGGGCCTCCATAGCTGCTGCCAGGCCCCTAATCTGCCATGGGCCCCTATACCGCCTCCTCATTGCTGCTTGCCAGGTCCAGAGTCTCTCTATGGGTTCCCTGTACGGCCTCCCATTGCTGCTGTCTCCATCGCCACACTCTGCCATGTGCCACTTTCAGGTCTCCTCACACTGCTGGTGTGTTCCATTTTTTGTCATAGGGTGCAGGGCAGATTACGGGCCTCCCATAGCTGCTGCCAGGCCCCTAATCTGCCAAGGGCCCCTATACCGCCTCCTCATGCTGCTGCCAGGTCCAGAGTCTCTCATGGGTACCAGTGTACGGCCTCATTGCTGCTGTCTCCATCGCCACACTCTGCATGTGCCACTTTCAGGTCTCCTCACACTGCTGGTGTGTTCCATTTTTTGTCATAGGGTGTGGCAGATTAGGCCGGGCCTTCCCATAGCTGCTGCCGGCCCCTAATCTGCCATGGGCCCCTATATACCGCCTCCTCATGCTGCTGCCAGGTCCAGAGTCTCTCATGGGTCCCTGTACGGCCTCCCATTGCTGCTGTCTCCATCGCCACACTCTGCCATGTGCCACTTTCAGGTCTCCTCACACTGCTGTTGTGTTCCATTTTTTGTCATTAGGGTGCTGGCAGATTACGGGCCTCCCCATAGCTGCTGCCAGGCCCCTAATCTGCCATGGGCCCCTGTACTGCCTCCTCATGCTGCTGCCAGGTCCACAGTGTCTCTGTCCATGTGCCACTTTCAGGTCTCCTCACACTTGCTGGTGTGTTCCATTTTTGTCATAGGGTGCTGGCAGATTACGGGCCTCCCATAGCTGCTGCCAGGCCCCTAATCTGCCATGGGCCTCTATACCGCCTCCTCATGCTGCTGCCAGGTCCAGAGTCTTCAGGGGTCCCTGTACGGCATCCCATTGCTGCTGTCTCCATCGCCACACTCTGCCATGTGCCACTTTCAGGGTCTCCTCACACTGCTGGTGTGTTCCATTTTTTTGTCATAGGGTGCTGGCAGATTACGGGCCTCCCATAGCTGCTGCCAGGCCCCTAATCTGCCATGGGCCCCTGTACCGCCTCCTTATTGCTGCTGCCAGGTCCACAGTGTCTCATGCCATGTGCCACTTTCAGGTCTCCTCACACTGCTGGTGTTGTTCCATTTTTTTGTCATAGGGTGCTGGCAGATTACGGGCCTCCCATTAGCTGCTGCCAGGCCCCTAATCTGCCATGGGCCCCTGTACCACCTCTCATGCTGCTGCCAGGTCCAGAGTCTCTCATGGGTCCCTGTACGGCCTCCCATTGCTGCTGTCCCATCGCACCACACTCTGCCATGTGCCACTTTCAGGGTCTCCTCACACACTGCTGGTGGGTTCCATTTTTTGTGCATAGGGTGCTGGCAGATTTACGGGCCTCCCATAGCTGCTGCCAGGCCCCTAATCTGCCATGGGCCCCTGTACCGCCTCCTCATGCTGCTGCCAGGTCCACAGTGTCTCATGCCATGTGCCACTTTCAGGTCTCCTCACACTGCTGGTGTGTTCCATTTTTTGTCATAGGGTGAGCAGATTACGGGCCTCCATTGCTGCTGCCAGGCCCCTAATCTGCCATGGGCCCCTGTACCACCTCCTCATGCTGCTGCCAGGTCCAGAGTCTCTCATGGGTCCCTGTACGGCCTCCCATTGCTGCTGTCTCCATCGCCACACTCTGCCATGTGCCACTCTTTCAGGTCTCCTCACACTGCTGTTGTGTTACATTTTTTGTCATAGGGTGCTGGCAGATTACGGGCCTCCCATTGCTGCTGCCAGGCCCGTAATCTGCCATGGGCCCCTGTACCGCCTCTTCATGCTGCTGCCAGGTCCAGAGTGTGTCATGGGTCCCTGTACGGCCTCCCATTGCTGCTGCCAGGAGGCAGCAGGGTCGCAGCAGTGTCAGTGGAGGCAAACGGCCACGGAGTAGAGCACCAGTTCCACTGCAGCCTACCACCACGGCCAGTAGTGGGCCGGTGTGCACGGAGGAAGTAGCAGTCAACCAGTGAGGAGTAGCGGGGGCAAAGTTTCCTACTCGGCGGTGTGGCAATTTTTCGTCAAGCCGCCCGAGGAAGTAAACGTAGCCGTATGTCGACTATGTGGCCAGAAAGTCAAGCGTGGCCAGGGGCCCATGTTGGGACTACAGCGTTGCGTCAGCATATGCAGCGTCGCCATTCGGGTGGCCTGGGGGGAAAACCGTGATAAAGATACGGCGGTTCTGCCTGCCCCAGCCCAGGGTTCCATTTTGTCATAGGGTGCTGGCAGATTACGGGCCTCCCATTGCTGCTGCCAGGCCCGTAATCTGCCATGGGCCCCCAGTACCGGCTCCTCATGCTGCTGCCAGGTCCACAGTCTCTCATGGGTCCCTGTACGGCCTCCCATTGCTGCTGTCTCCATCGCCACACTCTGCCATGTGCCACTTTCAGGTCTCCTCACACTGCTGGTGTGTTCCATTTTTTGTCATAGGGTGCTGGAAGATTACGGGCCTCCCATAGCTGCTGCCAGGCCCCTAATCTGCCATGGGCCCCCTGTACCGCCTCCTCATGCTGCTGCCAGGTCCAGAGTCTCTCATGGGTCCCTGTACGGCCTCCCATTGCTGCTGTCTCCATCGCCACACTCTGCCATGTGGCCACTTTCAGGTCTCCTCACACTGCTGGTGTGTTCCATTTTTTGTCATAGGGTGCTGGGAAGATTACGGGCCTCCCCATAGCTTGCTGCCAGGCCCTAATCTGTCATGGGCCCCTGTACCCGCCTCCTCATGCTGCTGCCAGGTCCAGAGTCTCTCATGGGTCCCCCTGTACGGCCTCCCATTGCTGCTGTCTCCATCGCCACACTCTGCCATGTGCCACTTTCAGGTCTCCTCACACACTGCTGGTGTGTTCCATTTTTTGTCATAGGGTGCTGGCAGATTACGGGCCTCCCATTGCTGCTGCCAGGCCCATAATCGGCCATGGGCCCCCGTACCGACTCCTCATGCTGCTGCCAGGCCCGTAATCTGTCATGGGCCCCTGTTGTCGCTTGTTGGCATATTCCGCTCGTTCAGATGCTCCTTCTCCTGCTACTCCTCTTCACGGATTCCGTCAGCAGTCTTTCTTGGAATCCGTTTCCAAGAGACAACAGTTTGCGAGCACGCACCCGACGGTGCAGAAGCTGAACGTCCTCCTGTCCAAGTTGTTGCTGCCAGGCTCGTAATCTGTCATGCGCCCCTGTACCGCCTCCTCATGCTGCTGCCAGGTCCAGAGTGTGTCATGGGCCCCCGTACCGACTCCTCATGCTGCTGCCAGGCCCGTAAATCTGTCATGGGCCCCTGTACCGCCTCCTCATGCTGCTGCCAGGTCCAGAGTGTGTCATGGGTCCCTGTACGGCCTCCCATTGCTGCTGCCAGGCCCGTAATCTGCCATGGGCCCCCGTACCGAACTCCTCATGCTGCTGCCAGGCCCGTAATCTGTCATGGGCCCCTGTACCGCCCTCCTCATGCTGCTGCCAGGTCCAGAGTGTGTCATGGGTCCCTGTACGGCCTCCCATTGCTGCTGTCTCCATCCCCACACTCTGCCATGTGCCACTTTCAGGTCTCCTCACACTGCTGGTGGTTTCCATTTTTGTCATAGGGTGCTGTATGGCCTCCCATTGCTGCTGCCTCCACCGCCACACTGTGGCTCCACACACTCTGGTTTTGGCCCCGTGACTGCCCAAATGAGTGAAGTGTGCGGTGATTCTAAGATCGACGGCACTCATCTGCATGTCATACTGCCTGTCAGTATTATTTTCTCTTCCCCAGCAGACTCCAAGGGCATTTAAAATTAAAGGTACAGTGTTCTGCACTAATATAAAGGCTCTCTGAAGCCTAGAAACACCCTTTTATAAGTTAAACTCGCGGCGAATATATTCGACTCGAATCAAAATTTTTTCACGAATTCGCCGAATCAGTCGAATCGAATTTTTGAATAATTCGCTCATCTCTACCTTTTATAATAATTATTTACTCTAAATTTACCTGTAGACAAACAGTTCACTTGGTATTAAACACCTCTGGATTATTTTAATATGCATCATCATTTCACTTGATTTAAAGCTCTAGTAAACAAACTGAATACTTATGCTATTTACAATATAATGTAAGACACTACCTCATCAGCTAAATGAGAGCTGGGTAACTATGTTTATTATGAATGCCTCTACTTCTTTGGTTTCTTATTAAGTATGTAATAACCTTAAAATTGTTGCCATAGGTTGCTATCTTTTTTTTTTCAGTGTACTTATTTTGAACTGGCATTGGTTGCAATCCGTTACCATGCTTATGCTTGCAGTCCATGATCTATACATTTCAACTCTTGTCTTGTTCAAGATGTGCAAAGGGTATATAATAGGTAATATATGCTAAGACCACTCTGCTGGAGTAATTTTTTTTTTAATAATATTATGTGATACAGTAATTTTCAAAAATGTTAGTTTCATTTTTTATTTAGAATGATATGATGTAAAAATATATTATGTCTTACTCATGCAGATGGCCTACCTGTAGAATTGTCAAAAATAAAATTAATTTTAAAAAGCAACAAAAGCAAACAATAAAAATACACAATCAACCCTATTTCTGAAGTGCAAAACCTATAAACATAGAGCAGTTGATGAATTTTCACAAGGTACAATTTTGGTGGTGATATTACTAATGAGTACACTTTTTGTTGCTTCCTGGACAAGGTATGCAAGACCGATAATTAGGTTGCCTAGCCAGAGTGTTTCATATTATTGCATCACATTAAAAGGTATTTTTTATACATTGGAATGGCCCACTGCCTTTCTAGGAGTTCCGTTTTTTTCTGTTCATGATTCTTTTTCAGCTTGACAGCTTCCCTCATTAATGCAAGGGAATCTTCAAGTGCAAGGGTTGCTGATATGACATGCATCACCTGTCCTCTGGCCAAATTGTTTTATGTACTGTACTTGAGAGTGGTTCATTAGAATTAAATATCTCTGACTTTGCTTGACACACTGCAAAAAATATTTTTAGGTGAGAATTGGATTTTTCTATCTCAGAATCCACTATACCATACATTTTCTTGTGGTTTATCTGTGGTTTGCATGTCAGTTAAAGACTATGGACTGCTTCAAGTACAAACTAAACTAGTCTCTCTGCTTCTGGGGGGTGTAAACCAATGTTTCTACAGACTTTTACTACTTACAGTGCTCAGCATAAATGAGTACACCCCAACAGATTTGTCAGAAAACCTTTACTTTCCTTTCAGAATCAACATTTTCTATGGGACACTATACTACAAAATACTCCCACAAATGCGGGCCCTTGATTGCAAACAAGATTTGTTGACTTGCACACACAAATAATTATTTTTCCTAACAAATTCATTCAAGACCATGTTGCAAAAATAAATACACTCCAATCAGAGTCTTAGAAGCAAAGCTAAATTTTAGACAACAAAATCCTAATTCAACTACAGGTGAGTCTAATTATTAATTAAACAGGTGTCCAGCAGACAGCTGATTATAAAAGGGCGTTACTTAACAAAGAAAACCCCTTACCATTTCATGCTGTCAGCAATGGCACCACATGGAAGAGAAATGTCACAAGGCCTGAGAAAGAAA